GCATCAGTGTGGGAATGCCAGACTCCAGCAGTGGGTAGAGTGCTGGGCCAGGTTCCAGAGGGTTGTTGGTTTAGATCCCGTGGACTGACAATGTGAGAGAAAAACCCTCTGATGAGCCCTTTGAATATAGAATCTAAGTGTCCTGTAAAAAACAAAAATGGAGTGGTTGAATCTTTTGTCATGATCCATTATTATGACGAGCTAAACCAATGAGACACACTCGTCTTCTATCCAGAACATCCCTCAAGGACATGAGTCACAACACAATACACCGGTAATGAACCTTGGCCTAGATTAAATCACTGTGAAGAGGATGCAAAGATCCACAGCTTCATCTTAAATCGCACTGTGGCGTGGGACAACAGCATGAGGTCTGAGAACAAGAGGCTCCAGTTTCTTTTCATTTCATTCTTTTTAAATAACCCATGGATATACCGCCTGCACGCAGTACAGTTTGAGAGTGGAAAACCAGAAGCAGTGAGGCGGGCCTACAGGATGTTCTTCTATCCCCCGTCGCCCTGGTTACTGTCATAAGGTTCCCTGTGGAGGAATGGGCTTAGTGGTGGAGTAGGGCAAACTGTAAGGGTGGAGTAGGGCAAACTGTAAGGGTGGTGTAGGGCAAACTGTAAGGGTGGAGTAGGGCAAACTGTAAGGGTGGTGTAGGGCAAACTGTAAGGGTGGAGTAGGGCAAACTGTAAGGGTGGAGTAAGGCAAACTGTAAGGGTGGAGTAGAGCAAACTGTAAGGGTGGAGTAGAGCAAACTGTAAGGGTGGAGTAGGGCAAACTGTAAGGGTGGAGTAGGGCAAACTGTAAGGGTGGAGTAGGGCAAACTGTAAGGGTGGAGAAGGTCAAACTGTAAGGGTGGAGTAGGGCAAACTGTAAGGGTGGAGTAGGGCAAACTGTAAGGGTGGAGTAGGGCAAACTGTAAGGGTGGAGTAGGGCAAACTGTAAGGGTGGAGTAGGGCAAACTGTAAGGGTGGAGTAGGGCAAACTGTAAGGGTGGAGTAGGGCAAACTGTAAGGGTGGAGTAGGGCAAACTGTAAGGGTGGAGTAAGGCAAACTGTAAGGGTGGAGTAGGGCAAACTGTAAGGGTGGAGAAGGTCAAACTGTAAGGGTGGAGTAGAGCAAACTGTAAGGGTGGAGTAGGGCAAACTGTAAGGGTGGAGTAGGGCAAACTGTAAGGGTGGAGTAGGGCAAACTGTAAGGGTGGAGTAGGGCAAACTGTAAGGGTGGAGTAGGGCAAACTGTAAGGGTGGAGTAGGGCAAACTGTAAGGGTGGAGTAAGGTGGAGAAGGTCAAACTGTAAGGGTGGGAGGGCAAACTGTAAGGTAGGGCAAACTGTAAGGGTGGGTAAGGCAAACTGTAAGGGTGGAGAAGGTCAAACTGTAAGGGTGGAGTAGGGCAAACTGTAAGGGTGGAGTAGAGCAAACTGTAAGGGTGGAGTAGGGCAAACTGTAAGGGTGGAGTAGAGCAAACTGTAAGGGTGGAGTAGAGCAAACTGTAAGGGTGGAGTAGAGCAAACTGTAAGGGTGGAGTAGGGCAAACTGTAAGGGTGGAGTAGAGCAAACTGTAAGGGTGGAGTAGAGCAAACTGTAAGGGTGGAGTAGGGCAAACTGTAAGGGTGGAGTAGGGCAAACTGTAAGGGTGGAGTAGGGCAAACTGTAAGGGTGGAGTAGGGCAAACTGTAAGGGTGGAGTAGAGCAAACTGTAAGGGTGGAGTAGGGCAAACTGTAAGGGTGGAGTAGAGCAAACTGTAAGGGTGGAGTAGAGCAAACTGTAAGGGTGGAGTAGGGCAAACTGTAAGGGTGGAGTAGAGCAAACTGTAAGGGTGGAGTAGGGCAAACTGTAAGGGTGGAGTAGGGCAAACTGTAAGGGTGGAGTAGGGCAAACTGTAAGGGTGGAGTAGAGCAAACTGTAAGGGTGGAGTAGGGCAAACTGTAAGGGTGGAGAAGGTCAAACTGTAAGGGTGGAGTAGGGCAAACTGTAAGGGTGGAGAAGGTCAAACTGTAAGGGTGGAGTAGAGCAAACTGTAAGGGTGGAGTAGGGCAAACTGTAAGGGTGGAGAAGGTCAAACTGTAAGGGTGGAGTAGGGCAAACTGTAAGGGTGGAGTAGAGCAAACTGTAAGGGTGGAGTAGAGCAAACTGTAAGGGTGGAGTAGGGCAAACTGTAAGGGTGGAGTAAGGCAAACTGTAAGGGTGGAGTAGAGCAAACTGTAAGGGTGGAGTAGGGCAAACTGTAAGGGTGGAGTAGGGCAAACTGTAAGGGTGGAGTAGGGCAAACTGTAAGGGTGGAGAAGGTCAAACTGTAAGGGTGGAGTAGGGCAAACTGTAAGGGTGGAGTAGGGCAAACTGTAAGGGTGGAGTAGAGCAAACTGTAGGGGTGGAGTAAGGCAAACTGTAAGGGTGGAGAAGGTCAAACTGTAAGGGTGGAGTAGGGCAAACTGTAAGGGTGGTGGGGTGCAGGAAATGCTGAAAGATCACATTGCAGCTGTGACCTCCGACCGTTGTCATGTCATGGCACTCTGTAATGGGAAGATGACTTGTCGGAAGGACTTCCTAGGGATTGGGGATGAATTGGTCTCTCTGTGAACGAGCAGACTGTTATGACAGGAAGATTGTGGACTTGATTCAGTAATGTCATGCAATCGTTTGTTTTTTAGCTTTAGGCTACTGTTAGAGTACGAGTTAAAAACTTTGAGGTTGATTGTTGAGTAATTTCTGCGCAGGGGCCGTTAGTTCCATGATAAAGTACAGTGGCGCAATTGCTGCCTGGGAAAGATCTGTATGGTGTTTGTGCACAATGTACTTGTTCATGAGATAATTGCTTTGCTAAGTTGCTCACGATTGATTGAATACTATATTATATACTGCTAAATTGATTATAAAGTACTAAATTTAAAAGTTGATCATTTTATGTTTTAGTTTTTTGTTCAACAATGAATGAAGATTCTGAGTAAGAGCATGAATCAATTATGTATCTTTTGAGATCAGATTTCCCAGTGAATCTGGAATTTATTTTTAGACAACTGGGGCTAGAATATTAAATCATTTTACGAGAATTTGAGATCATGACTGTTTTGCGAGATTATAACCTGATCAATAAAATCAGAAAATAACTCTATCCAGTCTGGTTTATTCGTGGGAGAAATATCAGAAGATACAGATGTATCTGTACAAACAATAGTACGAAAGTAAAAAAACCTGGGCCACACAGCCATCACACCGCTCAGGCAGGAGACACGTTCTGTCTCTTGAGATAAATGTACTGAGGACAGGAAGTCTTGCAAGTCTAAGCCTAACTGCAAAGCACAGATGTGGCAGCATCATGTTGTGGGGTGCTTTGCTGCAAGTCTTTGGCAAAAATACACCTTCTGTCAAGAGGACTGGGCCAAAATGTACCCAATATTTTGTGGGAATTTGGTGGAAAGCTACACAAAACATTTAACCTTTGACCTGTCACTAGAGGCAATGCTAGCAAATACTAATTAAGTGTGAGTAAATTTCTAACCCACTGGCAATGTGATAAAAAAATAAACGCTGAAATAACTTTTCTCAATTCTCTGTACTATTATTCTGACATTTTATATACTTGAAAAAAAGTGGTGATCCTAACTGACTTAAGACACAGAACATTTACCAGGATTACATTTCAGGAATTATGATAACTGAGTTTAAATGTATTTGGCTACGGTATTATATTTAAAAAAAAAAATGTATGTCTCAGATTTCAAAGATGTCTCTAACCACATAATATCTGAATCTAATGCAATACAGAAGTACATATCACAGACACAATGTTTTCAGAAGAGGGTAGTCTGCTGGGACTCGGGTAGTTTTAATTCACCTCAAGGAAGACAGAAAGCCTGTTTATGTAATATGCTGCCCCCGCATGCTTCAGTTAACCTTACGTCACAATATAATGGGATTTTTTCATTCCTGTTGCTGTTTATTGTAGAACTGTTTATTGTAACAATGTGGTAGCAGAGTATACTACCTTCACCTGAACGTCTGCATTTGCACAGAGTTCACACGTGCCGTGTTTCAAACTCATGAAACAGATATATCACCATTTCATTGCTGTTTTTTTGGCTTTCATTTGTTTATATTGCCCTGCACTTTCTTTCTATTGGCCCTTGGATGGCCATGAATTCTAAACTGTAAACCCACCTGCCAGCTGTGCAGGGAGAAAATATGGCACCTCGGGTTAATACGCCAACTGAGAGATTTACAGGTTTTCAGGTATTTAATGAAAATTAAGACATGTTCGTGGAAATTAAAATATATTACCTTGACGTTTCTGGTTTGGCGAGGAGTCAACTCAGGAGTGCTGGGATTTCAGCACAACTATTTACTCCAAAAACTGTTCCGGCAAATTCCAAGAAAAAAACCTTACCATTAGCTAGATCTGCTGGATAATTTTGTTGTTTTCAGTGGCGCAAATCCATTTGTCACAATGTCACCTACGATCGCCTTTGAGTATTGAAATGTGAAGACTAATGTATCTCGTAGGATTTTTATTGAAAAACAAGAAAATATCATGTGTCAAGATTTCTAAATTGTGACTTAGGGGAAACCGGCAAGGCCGTCAGTGGTTAGTAATAATAATACTAATATCATAATAATATATCATGGAATATATCTTTAAAATTGGCCATAAAAACTCTGTAGTTGCATTTGAACTGCGGCTGTTATGTAATTTGTTTAGGGCTGCAAATCACCACATAAATTATAGTCCTTGGGTTTTGAGAGATTAATTGATGCTACTTGTCATTTAGGCACAAAAAACAATAATGCATTTGGAGACGAATGTGTCATGTAACAAATATTGAACATTAAATCAAATATGTTTCCTAGTAGAACTACATCTCATCCATTGCCTAACAAACACTCCATAAATGCTCACATCCATATGCTGTGCATTAAGGACGTATAATGAATAAAGGTGCCTGTGGTCAGACCTGCAACTGGAATGGATTGAGCTATAGTGATGGGTAAACGGAGCAGTTGGTAGCTCAGTGGTAGAGTGCATCCTTTATAATTATAATGTCCTGGGTTCAATCCCCAGCTTCTCTCCAGGTCGCCGTTGCAAATGAGATTTGTTCTCAATCGGCCTACCTGGTTAAATAAAAGTTACAAAATTTCACAACATGCTTTCATTCCTGCACCTGGACAGTCGTGGGCGGTGTTTTCTAATGCTGACTTTTGTGTCTTAATTCAATTAAAACGAAACTTATCATCTAGGCTTCCAAAAGATGAAAATTACCGAAACATGACATTTGAAATGCAAAACCCATTATGTACCATTATGTCAGATAATAAAATGCACATTCCAATAGCCTCTATTTTACCTCTTCAAATTTGACGCTAATTGAAGCGCATCTTGCCTGACTTTGTGTGGCCCAATATGTTTCATATTCAAGCTATCTAATGTAACCTTAGAAAAGACATCTTGATGCACAACATACAGAATGTGTCAACAACAGCCCAAAACCAGCGTTGGTGGTAGTCAGAACCACACTGACTTAAGGGTAGCTGGCAATAAAAGGCTGACCTACTGGGACCTGGGGTACCGGAGTTAGCTGCAGTACTGGTCTAATAGGGCAAATAAACCCTCCGGTTCCTGTCAGGTAAACACATCAGCCTGCCTGTCTCGCTCTACTTCCTGCCAGAGTATCACGGAGAGCAGCTCTTGTACGCATCTTCCCCTCAGGAAGGCGTGGGGGGTTCAAATCTTTACAGTGTCTCTAGTCTATAGCATTACTCCTGGTTTTCCGGGATTCCTGTCCCTGGAGCCAAGTCCTCCTCTTCACTCCCCTGCACTACTATGAAAAAAAGGCAATCGCTTATTTTGAGGTCAGGATGTTGCGAGGAGGATTTCTGAAGACTTCGTCGAGCACTCTGGAGAATTGCTGACATGTAGTAACTCCGAGAGTCTCTGTTGACAGTGGAACTAAAGACCCCTTCAAGAAGACCCCGGATTTGACTTTTCATATGACCCGAATGATCGCAAGTCCTATAGCTTATTATAGATGCATTTCATGCACTTTCCCAGACTTGTAGCAAAACTAACTCTGTTTAAGTGATGCGTAGGTACTGAAAAGTAGACAGCTAGTGACAGATTGTGGAAGATGGAAAAGTGTTTGCAAGGTTTTTGTTGTAAAATTATTATTTTTTAAACCAGATTATTTCCAGTTTAATCTTTTATTACAGGAACTAGTACCATGACAATGACGGAGTACAAGTACAGAGACCAACCCGGAGTAGTTTCATGGCAGTTGTTTTGAGATTGCATTACCAAGGTTCAAACTCATATTCCTTCCCAACTGTACATATGACGCCATCTGCGTTTGCTGAAAGCACATACAACGAAGAGTTTCCACCATGACGTAACCTAGGCAATGCTCATATATCCAGAGAACATGGGTAATCAGAGAACGTCTACTGTAGGTAGTTAACTGCTGACTCAGTTTTCCCAATAGAGAATACAGTCCCGTTCACCTGTACAATACTGCTATTAAGACATTATTCCCAAAGGAACATTTCTTCCAGTAGTTTCTGCTGGGCCCAGGGCCTTGTGTTCCACACATTGATGGAGACGAAGAGCCTTGCTCAGCCCACACTATGATATATAGTGATATAGAAGAAAAAGACATGGACCGTAATTATTGTCATTCATTGTGCATTAAGGAAACCAGACAGCGGGAACTCTGAAGGATTCGTTAAAGCACTCAAATAAATGTTAATTTAAAATACTGGCAGATATTATTAAGCAGTTTTTGTAGGCACCGTTTCAATAAGCGTGACTCATAAGTTGGCGTTTTAACTAACCAAAGTCAAAGACTAAACTTACACTACACAAACATGAGCACACATTTACCATTAGATATAAGCGTAGCTAAGAATTCATGCTCTCTCAACCCTCCCCTATATCTGGTTGTTCAGCGAAGGACGCCGCCGTTTGTTGTAGCTTGAATAACAGCAAAAAGATTGCATTCGCTTTTGCTAATACATTGTACGGTGTAATTATGGCCACAGCTCTCAATTGTTACTTCCACTAACAATAACTAGCCATATGTGAAAATTACGCTATGCGTTTTACGGAGTACTAGCCCCTAGATCTCAATATTTACTTTGGTATCTTTGCCAAAATAAGCAGTGTACGATGGAATATGAAACATGCCATTATTTCAGTGCACTTGTCTTAAAATGTTTTGGTCATAAATTAGGGGGCCGTGGCGCAAGTGTGATGTTTAAATCTTTCATCACTTTTTTGGGGGTTTCGTGCTCGCAAGCTATATTTAACAAGCTTGTACATTGCGAGCATATCTTAGATGGATGGACCTATCCAACCAATGGTATTGGTTGTTACAATGCCAATGTTACTGATTTGTCAAAAATGTATTGACCTCTTGCCAGAATTCTCATATTCAAACCTCTAAATTCCTTCTCGTCTTAATTTGGCAAAATTCCAAGAGTGCAAAAATAGAGCCGCGTATTTCAGCCGGTGATGTTCTTTTTCGAAATACAAATGCAACTCATCTCACTGCTCTAGATATCTTTGAGCCCTAATTTACACCTAAGGTCTCCCAGGGTGTAGCGGCCCTTTCAAATGTTAAGGAGAGGAGATCTGTGCCAGAACATTGATGTACTCCTTTTAAAATGTAAAAAACATGACATTTGTTTTACTGCCAGAGTGGATGTTCATGCACAACCTAGAAGTAATTGTTACGGCCTATAATGTTATGTAAGACCTGTCCATTGTGGCTTTGCTTCATCAGGTGGAATAAAAAAGCTAATTTGAGATGAAAGAGACGTCTTTCAACGGACCGGAAAAGAGCCACTTCCAAATTGTGTCGGATCACAGCTTTGCTCAGTTTTCAATAATCCTCTGGCAACGTTTTCTTAATTGAAAATGAATATTTTTTTTGTTTAATATTATCTGATTATTATGCAGTTTCTTTTATTGACTAACAAGTTAACTACGGTATACATGTGAAAAACTTTTGTTAAAATGTCCCTCAGACATGAGGCAATGATTTAACCCACGTGACACATTTTAATCAGATTGTAGTGAAGCCCGGTCTCCCTAACTGCCGATTCTCAACTGCAAGTCGTTGGAATGCTTTTGTCCCCCAACCCCCGTTCATTCCTGTGGGAAGCCCTGCCTGGGTCACATATCTAATTATTAGTTCACTTTAACAAGACAGAAGTCTGTCAGAGTTTGTAAATGTCTCCTTGTATGATATTGACCTATCATTACTTAGACTAAAAAAACAAAACATCATGACCAGTCGCAGGTATAGAGAATAACACTGACTATCTCCCTACACGGTTGGCGCACCCGAATGGGTCAGAGCATCTCTGAAACGGCAAGGCTTCTGGGGTGCTTCTGGTCAGCGGTGTTCTTCCTCTGTCCAGTGTCTGTGCTACTTTGCCTTTATTCTTCTTCTTTTTATTGATCATTCTGAAATGTAGCTCTTTGAAACTCCGCCTAGATGGACAGCATCTTATCCGAAATGAGGGTCATTCTGGATTATTTTGTCGTTGTTCCGCCTCTCACTGTTCAAACTAACCTACCAATAAAATTATAGATCGATCATGTCTTGGTCAGTGGGCAAACTGTTCAAAATAATCAGGGTATCAAACACTTATATATTATGTATCATAACATCTGTTGGTGAGTGGTTACAGTATTATTTTAGGAGACTTCGCACCTCCCAGTGTGTAAAGGTTCCCTTATTCAATCTTTTACTCTCACAGGTCTCACGTGTCTTCGGGATCGCCTCACGTTCCGGTTCTGTCAGACCCTCCAGTGGCTCGGCCGATGCCATCTGCCCACCGTTCGGGCTCAGTGCTGCAAGACGTGTGGCCAGCGTTCCCGTGGCAACGAGCGCAGTACCCGACGCTGAACCCCGGGCGGTCGCTATTGGGTGGACCCGTTCGCCAACACGCGCTGGCGCTAACACTTGAACACACACACACACACACATACATACATGTACACCTGCACACATCTTAAGCTGGACACAAACACACACACAGAAAAACAAAGGCAATCATTTGACAATTCAAGCCCCAATCGCTCCTGACTGCCAGTTTAAAGCTTGCTCAGTGCAATTGGAATTATATCACATTGTTAATGTGAGAAAACATTAACTGGGCTGCGCTGTTTTTTTTTGTAGCCAATGGCATACTCCCAAAAGTGCAAACCCAAGTTAAATAACGTGCGGCTTAAAGAATAATCACCTCACGACACGACGGCGGAGAATTCCTCCAAACTGTACTAAGAAGAAACATGACTTTAGTTTTTTACTCTTATTAAGATAACAACGTCTATGTTTCTTCGCATTTTCTCAGATGAATCAGTGTGTTGTACTGTTCTGATTGTGGAAGCAACACGCTGACAGGACACGGGTCATAGCCTGGAGACTGGTTCCGTCCAGAAGCAACGTGGACCGGACCTGCATACTAGTTTTAGCGGGTTGTAGTAGCACGTTTGTTAATTCCAGACCGTCTTGAAACGCTTGATAGTGTAGATTTTTTATTTTAAACTCACTCAACTTTGCTCAGATGCCAAGATTAGTCTAGTAGGAACAAGCTACTTTTGCGTTGAATATTTTTGGTCATAGCACAGTAAATACACTGCGGAACCAAAACATTATGACCACGTACAGGTGAAGCAAATACCATTGGGTCATCTTTTAATAAGGGCACGTGTCATGGTCTGGGTGGATTAGAGGGTAAGCAAACATTCAGTTCTCGTGGTTGACATGTTGGATGCAGAACGAATGGGCAGGAATGAAGAACTGAGGGACGTTGACAAGGGCCGAATTGTTAAGGCCAGGCGAACGGGTTCAGGGGATCTCTGAAGAAGCAAGCCTTGTACGGTGCCCCCGGTAAGAATGCGGTCATCTGAAGAGGGACAAACTCCAAACCGGCGACAGGGTGTTGGAGGTGCCCAAGGCTTATCAATGTGCGAGGGCAACAAAGGCTATCTTGTCTATGGGGGCTGCTGCATATGGGGCTACTTAGCCTCCGAAAGGTCAGAGTGCCGATGATGACCCCTGTCCAAAGT